GGCTGCTGAAGATTAGGACGAAGCATGCGTGGGAATGCCTCGAGCGCTGTGATGTCAATTCTTGACTTAACTCAACTCCTAAAATAACATTTTCCGCGTCCCAAACTGTGCAGTTGATTGGAGGATTCACATTTCTTTGGCACCTCTGCATGAGTTCATTTACATTTCTATGTCACCTAATTGTAAGTTGTTTATATATATATAAAAAAAAGCATTCCCCATTATTAAACGGTCCATTTTTTTTCTGGCGGATAATTATTATTTGTCGTCCCCCTGTGGGATGCAATTTTTCGTTTCTTTGAAGCCCCACCCCGGCTATGGCTGGGGGCCTTAATGTAACCTAACGGTTGAACGGGGTTTCCGGGACCTCTTCACTAGTGATCCTCATCCGCATGGTGGCACTTTGTGTCACCGGGTGTTTATCGCTCTGTGTGATATATGCTGGCCGGATCAAACTTACTTACTTACTGGCGGGCAATTGAGAGGGAAATTCAAATCTTCTAAGTGACACTTTTAGACTGCTGCACATCCATGTTTTTAATGCTGTCCTACCTCTTGCATTCTTGCCCTTGAACTTTCCCTTCATATTGTTTTTAAAAGCGTATTATATATATTTTTTTTATATGGCCATAATATTTCGACTGTCTAATCCTTTTTTTTTTTTTTAAATACAAGGGTTGATTATACATAACATTTGCCGATTCTCGTTTTCAATGTGCTGTTTATCTGTTTAGCTGCCAGTAATTTGTGCATCTTGTTGAAGATAGTTTTAGCCAGGGCATTACGAAATACTCATTTTAGGCTTGATCAACATGGGAGTAAAAGTCAATTTGTAAGCACACAAACACACACACACACAAATCTGCATCAACAGCCGTAATAATTATGCACTAGTAGAAAATATAGACAGGAAGATCTGTAGTACGGAACGAAACAAATAAAGCTCCAGTTTTGCTGGTAAAATGTAGGTGGCGTTGTCACTACTTTCTGTGGCTTCTTTTGAAGCCTGGGGTTCGGAAACCTTACGACAATATTATGTTCATCTATTCTATGGGTTTATTCAGTTTTCATGTCGGTAGTACGTCGACATAAGCCCTTTGACATAAAACACTTTTCAGTTTCTCGGGCAGCCTGAACATAACGTGTCGAACTGTAGAATTCAGTCTTTTTTTTGGAATTCACCAACCAACCATCCAGCACCCAACCGCCTAACAGACAACCAACTAATCAACAGGTCACCAACATACAACACCACAACAACAAACAACATCAGAACAACAACCACATTAACCCCAAAACAACCAACAAACACGTTAACTATTTTCATTTTCAGTTAGCTGGGTTTAAATTCCCCGTTAATCTCCGTGTTTATCCAGCCTGTTGTCTGCCACAACGTTTGTAGTCTATTATGTTATGTCGCTTTGCTTTATAAAATTATGTCCATCAGTTTCCACTATTGCCGTTAAGCGCTTGAGTTAGTAATATGTAATTGTTCTAGCAGTGTTTTAACGATAAGGCCAAACCATTTGATCTTCTGTTTCTAAAACTATTCGTTGCATGATGTTGTTTTCTTAGTCTGTCTGGTAGTACCATTTCTAACCTAGTCTTGGATGATTAAGTTGGCTGCTTTCCTCTGTTATCTCATTTAACAGATATTACCTTTACATAGGTAGCCTTTCATAATGTCCAGTTTTAGCTCTGGTAGTACTGTTGATGTCGACGTCTGTGGCCTAGGCGTTGCGACGTGCTTCGTAATGCCGATGTACTGGGTTCGATCCCAAATGCGGGCCTTAAGCCTTTCTTTGGTTTCGACAGTGCTATCGAGAAGCAGATCGTCCAGATATCAATGGCAAACTACTTGACGTAAACTTGACTGGAAAAACCACAACAGCCAAAAACTGCTGGCGTTGGTTCTGCAATGTCATGTAAATAATACGCATCTTTTAACATATACTGGGTGTCTCAGAAGTTTCCACATACAGGTAAAATAAACTGTTTTGTAATAAAACCCATTTCTGTTTATATAGCATGCTTGTTTTTTTTTTTTTTTAATATCCGGAAACCATGAGTCGTTAACCCTTTGGCTCGGTACTATGGATATCGCAACCCATCGGCTGCTTTGATTCCATGAAAGGTACCGTAAATCTGGGAGAAAATGTGGCTTTTCTGCCTACCCCCGGCAGTGAACCCGGACCACAAGGAGTTCGTCACCCGACCACCGCGCAGTCCGGTTTAGCCAACTACGCTAGAGAGCTGGGCAACATACTTGTTATGGCTACCATTGTTTTAAAAACACATTTCGATGCGTCTCCTCCGCTGCTGATTAAAAAACAACCTATAAGCACTGTTAGAGTTATGCATGTTATAGTGTTGGCGATCTGTTGATTTTTACTGTTTGAAAACTTATGGAACATCCTGTAAATTGACCAACAAAAATGACCTTAAAAGTACGAGGTAATTGACAGGCCTTTCTCGCACTTTGTGTGAGGTCAAGTCTGCCCGCCCACTTTGATTATCTACAGATCCGTCTTCTAGGCAGATTTTTCAAGCTACAGATGGCCATTTTAAACACAAAATTGCACAGGATGGTGTTTTGTCAGGCTGAATTTTGGCCAGGAGATGAGAAACACTCTTGGGCTTGTTATTGTTTCGCAGCCAGCATTTGAACAACCAATTATCATTTTAGAGGACGCAAATCACGATCAAATTCCCGTAGAATAGTACATTATTTTTTTCTCAAGTGCTTTAGTACCCGCTGAGCTTGCTAATGAGGATGGCTTTGAGCGGGTGGTCGCCGTGTAAAGTTGCAGAAGGTTCTTTTGGTGTTTTCTGAATGATCTTTTGGGGGAAACGGCGGGCGGGGGATGGTAAAAGGTGGGGGGGGGGGGGGGAAGTAATAATCCACAGAAACGAATACGCTTTGACAACAACATTAACAACTTCTTCTTCTTCTTCTTCTTCTTCTTCTTCTTTCTTCTTCTTCTTCTTACTTCTTCTTCTTTCCGTTCTTCTTCTTCTTTTCTTCTTCTTCTTCTTCCTCCTCCTCCTCCCTCCCTTCCCCCCTCCCTAACTTCCTTCCTTCCTTCCTCCTTCCTTCCTTCCTTCCTTCCTTCCTTCCTTCCTTCCTTCCTTCCTTCCTTCCTTCCTTCACTTCCTTCCTTCCTTCCTTCTTCCTTCCTTCCTTCCTTCCTTCCTTCCTCCTTCCTTCCTTCCTTCCTTCCTTCCTTCCTTCCTTACTTCCTTCCTTCCTTCCTTCCTCCTGCCTGCCCTGTCTGCCTGCCTGCTTGCCTGCCTGCCTGCCTGCCTGCCTGCCTGCCTGCCTGCCTGCCTTCCTTCCTTCCTTCGATCTTTTCTTCCTTGGATTTTTCCTTCCTTCCTTCCATCTTGCCTTCCTTCTTCCTTCCTTCCTTCTTCTTATTCTTCTTCCTTCTTCTTCTTCTTCCTTCTTCTTCTTCCTTCTTCTTTTTCCTTCCTTCCTTGTTCTTCTTCTTCTTCTTCTTCTTCTCTTCTTCTCTTCTTTTTTCTTTTTCTTCCTTTTTCTTCTTCTTCTTCTTCTTCTTCTTCTTCTTCTTCTTCTTCTTCTTCTTCTTCTTCTTCTTCTTCTTCTTCTTCTTCTCTTCTTCTTCTTCTTCTTGCTTTCTTTTCTTCTTCTTCTTTCTTCTTCTTCTTCTTCCTTCTTCGTTTTTTTTCTATATTTTCTTTCTTCTCTCTTCTTCTTCTTCTTCCTTCTTCTTCTTCTTCTTCTTCTTCTTCTTCTTCTTCTCTTCTTCTTCTTCTTCTTCTTCTTCTTCTTCTTCCTTCTCCTTCTCTTGCATTCGCCCTTTAAATGGCTGTTGGCAGGCTGCTTTACGACCCAGTAGTCAAACTTCAGTTAACTGTCACCGTCCCGACCATGGCAATGACGGATAACCGAACTGACGAATAACATAAATCTCGTAAGAGATATGAACAGTTGCGGGATTTCACTCCGGGCTTGGGACGAAAATAAAAATAAAATCCTTTATAGAGTTATATTGCCCGGCTCTCTAGCGTAGTTGGCTAAACCGGATTGTGCGGTGACCGGGTGACGAACTCCTTGTGGTCCGGGATCACTCCCGGGGGTAGACAGTAAAGCCACATTTCTCCCAAATTTACGGTATTTTACAAAGGAATCAAGGCCGAAAGGTTGCAAAATCCATAATACCGAGCCTAAGGGTTAACAACTCATCGCTTCTGGATACTAAAACAAACAAACATAGAGTTAGATTGTAAAAAATAATACTGCCAGTTTGTTTATTGATATTCATTTTTGTTTTGTTTTTAATATAGGATAACAAAAACTGGCAGTGTATGGAATTTTGATGTACGTCCAATTTCGACGTACCTCATAATTAGTCTTTACAGCATGTTTTATTTTATGTAAGTCCCCCACCCCCCCCCTCTCCCCACAAAGAGGCTCTTGAACCCACACACAACAACTAAAACGACAACAGTACCGTCTTAGAATCCATGCTGTGGGGCGTTGGTAGTAATGTTTATCTACAACCCGCTGTCTCGTATACTTTCAGTTAAACTCTGACACAGATAATCCTTCATGCCATTATGTCAGACTGTCTAGCATATTTTCTCTCCGTCTACCTCTGCCTCTTCTTCCTTCCAACTTTCCTATCGTCACGATGTACTCCAGTTTTCTCCTTCTCATCACATGACCAAAGAATGTAGGTCGTCTTTTTTCTGATATGGGCAATTAATTCTCTTCGTGAGCCAATTTAATTCAAGACGTCTCAATCACTCTTTTTATCTGTCCAGTGTATTCTCATCATAGTCTCATCATTCGTCTACAAAACCACATCTTCCGCAGCTTGCAAATAATTTGTCACTAATCTACCAACCGTCCATGATGCACAGCAGTACAACCATCTCCCCAGATTCCAAATAATGTTTCACTAATCTACCAACCATCCATGGCTGACAACAGTACAACCATGTTATATAACCGTGCAATCATTTCCTACTCACAGATGACGATCTAGAGAAGTTCATTGAGGAGGTGGTACATGCAGCTAACAGAGGAGTATCTGCCGTGAAGAATGTCTCCCAATCCGAACCGAACTGGAGCTTTGGTCAAGCCCTGTTTTTTGCCAGTACTGTGGTCACTACAATAGGTAGGTAAAATTTATAGTTAAGGACACTTTTATATGCCTTTAGGGGTATTTGGGCATATAGGGCTAGACTTATATTTTATAGAGCAATCAGTACTTTGTGGGTGATGTCGTGGGTGCCGCCTTTACTTTCCAGAACTACACCTGGTACCCACTCAAGGCTGTGGCAACCTGGGAGCCAAGGTAATTTTTTTTATAAAAGTCCGGGTGTGGTCAACTTTACGCCAGCCGCCTTTACTTCTTAGAGCCTTACTTAGTACCTGTTTAAATGGGTACGTCAAGCAATTTTGATAATGGGAGCACTGGTGCTTGTAATAATCCGTTATACGTGCAGTTTGTTTTAGTTTAACTATAAATGCCTTTGTTTTCAGGAGCAGTTTGTACATCTACCGTTAAAAATATAAATAATAAGATAACATGCGCATTTGATTAAGAACACATTCTGACCAAAACGTAACTCCATACTTTATGTTTCTCTTGTTGTGGAAACTTATTGTCATACTCTTTTTAAATACAATTTATTATGTCAGGAGTAGGCGTGGGGGAGTGGGGGTGGTGGGTCATATACCGAAAAGGAGGAGGGGGAGGGGGGAGAGGGTGCGACCTATTTAAAAAAAATTATTGGAGACCACTGTTCAAGCCACACATAAACACCTACTATCACCACAACTGTCTAAATAATACTGTCCTTAAATATTGCTTGAGGGTGTCTGTCGTACTTTCTTTAGCTGCTTCACTGCGACTCTCTTTGCCTTCCACGCCTGTTCTACTTCTGGAGTCCACCATGGGGGCTGTAGAAAATTAGTTCTGGCAGTTCTGTTGCATGCTCCCTGTCTGAGGCGTCCAAGTAGGTTGTTGGTCCACTTATACTGGAACATCTTGCATGCTCTCCCAACCACACTTCGTGATTGTAACTGATTCAGAAAGCATGCTGAGGAAGATCAGAACAGGTATGCTTCGTGCAGAGTGGCATGCTTCGCTGCGGAGGACACGGGTGAGGAGTATTGTCTAGATTTTTTCACCGGGGCACACCGGTGTGTTGGGGAATGAACAGATGGACAGACTGACTGGCTCTGCAGAACTTGGTGGAATACTGATACATGATAGGGCAGACGTGGTTAGTGCCTCGTGGGAGAGCGTGTACAATGCGAAGGAGCAGATGGATCACCACAGTCTGGTGAGATTGATACAGCGGGGACTGACGCGAGGCTCTGGCAGATGCTTGAGGCTCAGAGGAAAGGCAAGACGGACGTTTAATCAGAATGCTACTGGCACCATTAGTATTGGAACTCTTCGCTGGCTGCTGAAGATGGGGACGGAGCGCTAATGGGAATGACCCAAGTGCTGGGATGTCGGTTCTTGAATCAAATCAAATCAAATCAAATATTACTTTGTCTTAGTCGTATGTGTAATGTTTTAATGAAGCTATTTCAAGATTTTTGTTTGTTTGTGTGGCTATGTTGTGTTTAGTTTCTTTTCATTGTTTTGCTGATGAAGGATAATCTACAGCAACGTCCTCTGTGTGTTCAATGCAAATGGTTTGTAATGCTGAGATTTACTTTATATTTCTCCTTGCACTTTTATACTTTTATGTCTCTTATCTTTCCTTATTTTTTTCTGTTTCTGTTACTAAGACTATGTTCTGGTGGCCATAGTGGACAAACAATTCTGACTGCTGTATTCGAAAACGTTTCCACAGGCTATGGAAGGGTGACGCCCCTGTCAGACGCTGGCAAAGCTTTCTGTATAGTCTTCGCTATCATGGGAATTCCCCTAACCCTGATACTATTCACAGCCGCAGTGGAAAGATTGATGATTCCAACACGACAGCTTCTGTACTGGCTTTACGACAAGCTGGGTCATCTATACAAGGTGGGTTAACTGTGTGTGGGTTGTGGGTGTCTGTGTGGAAAAACGAATGATCCCAACACGACAGCTTGTGTACTGGCTTTACGACAAGCTGGGTCATCTATACAAGGTGGGTTAACTGTGTATGGGTTGTGGGTGTCTGTGTGGAAAAACGAATGATCCCAACACGACAGCTTGTGTACTGGCTTTACGACAAGCTGGGTCATCTATACAAGGTGGGTTAACTGTGTGTGGGGTGTGGGTGTCTGTGTGGAAAAACGAATGATCCCAACATGACAGCTTCTGTACTGGCTTTACGACAAGCTGGGTCATCTATACAAGGTGGGTTAACTGTGTGTGGGGTGTGGGTGTCTGTGTGGAAAAACGAATGATCCCAACACGACAGCTTCTGTACTGGCTTTACGACAAGCTGGGTCATCTATACAAGGTGGGTTAACTGTGTATGGGGTGTGGGTGTCTATGTGGAAAAACGAATGATCCCAACACGACAGCTTCTGTACTGGCTTTACGACAAGCTGGGTCATCTATACAAGGTGGGTTAACTGTGTGTGGGTTGTGGGTGTCTATGTGGAAATACGAATGATCCCAACATGACAGCTTCTGTACTGGCTTTATGACAAGCTGGGTCATCTATACAAGGTGGGTTAACTGTGTATGGGGTGTGGGTGTCTGTGTGGAAAAACGAATGATTCCAACACGACAGCTTCTGTACTGGCTTTACGACAAGCTGGGTCATCTATACAAGGTGGGTTAACTGTGTGTGGGGTGTGGGTGTCTGTGTGGAAATACGAATGATCCCAACACGACAGCTTCTGTACTGGCTTTACGACAAGCTGGGTCATCTATACAAGGTGGGTTAACTGTGTGTGGGGTGTGGGTGTCTGTGTGGAAAAACGAATGATCCCAACATGACAGCTTCTGTACTGGCTTTACGACAAGCTGGGTCATCTATACAAGTGGGGTTAACTGTGTGTGGGGTGTGGGTGTCTGTGTGGAAAAACGAATGATCCCAACACGACAGCTTCTGTACTGGCTTTACGACAAGCTGGGTCATCTATACAAGGTGGGTTAACTGTGTATGGGGTGTGGGTGTCTATGTGGAAAAACGAATGATCCAACACGACAGCTTCTGTACTGGCTTTACGACAAGCTGGGTCATCTATACAAGGTGGGTTAACTGTGTGTGGGTTGTGGGTGTCTATGTGGAAATACGAATGATCCCAACATGACAGCTTCTGTACTGGCTTTATGACAAGCTGGGTCATCTATACAAGGTGGGTTAACTGTGTATGGGGTGTGGGTGTCTGTGTGGAAAAACGAATGATTCCAACACGACAGCTTCTGTACTGGCTTTACGACAAGCTGGGTCATCTATACAAGGTGGGTTAACTGTGTGTGGGGTGTGGGTGTCTGTGTGGAAATACGAATGATCCCAACACGACAGCTTCTGTACTGGCTTTACGACAAGCTGGGTCATCTATACAAGGTGGGTTAACTGTGTGTGGGGTGTGGGTGTCTGTGTGGAAAAACGAATGATCCCAACAAGACAACTACTGTACTTGCTTTATGACAAGCTGGGTCGTCTATCCAAGGTGAGTTAACTGTGTGTGGAGTTTGGGTGTCTGTGTGGAAATAGGAATGATCCCAACACGACAGCTTCTGTACTGGCTATACGACAAGATGGGTCGTCTTTACAAGGTGGGTTTGTGTGTCAGTATGTAGTGTTTGTAGAGGGCTGCGTGGTCTCGAGGCATGGTATCCGCCTCGAGTGCTAGAGGTTCCGGGTCAATCCCCAGTAAGGGTTGGGATTTTTTTTCACATGGACTTGGACTTCTAGTAATTCCCCCTGGTCACTGGGTAGTGAGATCGGGCCCGTGTGCATTGTTGCACATGTAAAAAAATTCCCTTGGCAGTTGGAAATCGAAAAAAAGTAGCCCAACAGCCCTGCCTGGCAAATTTCGGAGTTTAAAATGTATCTAAAGTTTTCATGATCCTCGCTGTTGCTACAGAGACTCAGCGACACACCAGCTTCTATATCGATTTTACATTTCGACAAGCTGGGTCATTTATACAGAGGTGGGTGGACTATGTATGGGGGTATGTGTGGTGTTTTCCATTCTCTCATTCCATGGGTTATCACCATTCGCTTTAAAAAGGGCTTTTTACTTACTGCACTCACACTGTTACACAAAACGATGTTATCAAGGCAAATTACTGCGAAGACAGTACGGCATAGGGCTGACTCTGTATCCCTATCAAGGCTAATGGACAACCCGGCGCTGCAAGAAATGAAAAATTCACCAAGGGCACATGAAATTTGATTAATCAACAAACAGGTGTCATCAGTCATTTCACATTTGTGTAGCTTCTGAGGAGGAGATCAGACCACTTATGAATCCGGAGTGCTGTAATGATGATGATCATCAAGTGCCTTGCTTGCTAGCGTACACGTTAATGCATCTCCACAGATCTTGGTCTTTGGTGTTCTTGATTAATTCTACTGATGAAATTCCTCAATGTCACTGTCGTAAACCATCTACCATCGTTTTTCTTGGTCTGCCTTTGCATCTTCTACAAGTGATCTTTCTATTCGTCACCATATTTCCCAGTGCTCAATTTCTCATCACATGACTAAAGAACTCTTTTTCGCGTTGTTGTATATAATGTTCTACTTACATTAGCCATTTCCAGGCAATCATTGATAGTTATTCTGGGAGTCCAATGTATTTGCAACATTCTTCCGAAGAACCACATTTCAGTTACTCCAAACTCTTCTTAATTGGCTTATATTCAAAGATTCACTGCCATACACCAGAACAGGTCGATATATTTCAGTACTCGTTTTCCGATGTTTCATGAAAGTTTGATAATCATCACTAATCATTGATTACTCTTTCTGCAGGTCATTCACATCCAGGTGCTGCACTTGGTCATCATACTGTGTGTGCACGTCATTTTCTTCATGATCATTCCAGCCGCCATTTATACTGTGCTAGAGCCAAACTGGAACTTCCTGGACGCCTTCTATTACTGCTTCATCTCACTGTCCACTATTGGTCTAGGAGATTATATTCCAGGTAAGTTGCAAGGCTGCAAAGTGGGATGAGTTCAAGAGCGGTGAAGAGATAAGAGAAATGTCTGGGCATTTTGCTTGCTTTGAGGCAGCACAAATATCAAGTTCAATTAGCATCCCCAAGGGGGGGGGGGGGGAGTTTTAGGTTATAATTGTGACAAAGTTATCTGCGCCATATAAAATGGCCTAGCATTGCACGCCATCAAGTAGCCCTGAAAAGGACTCGTGCAGTGTTGATGTGATCAAAGAAGACACCCAAATACTATCCTGACCAGCAGTGGGTGAAGTCGTCTACCTGTGACACATAATGCTGGGATGTCGATTCTTAATACAGCATTCAACATTCGATTCTTCTTCTTCTTCTTCTCGTTCACCAGCTGTAAACTCTCGCGGAAAGTTCTGGTTGTTCATCAACTTCTGGACGGCAGTCCTGTTCCAGAACCTGAGTGTTGCGTGTGCATCCATTTGACAGATCTGACTCATTTGTATGCAGACTGCTGGTTTCTTGCCTATCAGGCAGATGCACTCCGACTTTGAAGGAAGCTCCCAATTAGTCGACTCTTACGACATGCTTTTGGGTAGGCAGTGGGTCTATTCTTGTTTTCCCTATAATAGGGCCCCGAAACCCACACGGGGTACATTATGTTATTGGTTATTTCAGGTTATTTGGCTGGGGCCTCTGTTAATTCGTTGCTGGGTACTTGTTGGACTATTTACTTGACCCTTGATGTTGAATGTTGAATATTGAATTAAGAATCATCACAGCACTTGGGATACTCCCATAAGTGCTCTGTCCCCATCTTCAGCAAAATGTGAAGAGTTTTAATTCCTATGGCACCAGTAACCGTCTGATTGTATATTCATCTCATCTTTCCCCTGAATGTTGAACATCGGCCAGATCCTCTTGTAACTCCTCGCAACGCCATTCTCCTAAGATTGTAATGATCTATCTGCGCCTCCACACTGTTCACTCGTTCACAAAGGGCCCTCACAATATCTGGCTTGTTGTACATCAATTCACCACCAAATGGTGCCGAGCTGACCAGTCTATCTGCCCGATCATTTCTCAACATACCGGCATGACCTGGAAAAAAACATCCAAAAGATGCTAACTACCGGGACCTCTGAAGTGATGCTTGCCACTCTGCACGAAGCATCCATGTCTTTACCTTTCTCAGCATGCTCTGTGAACCAGTTACAATCACAGCATGTGTGTACAGCTGATTCTCAAGCTAGCGGAAGGCAGCAGAAGGCACCTCTATTCTAAAACTAGACGTGATATCATATGCAAAGTTTTCCTGCACTAAGTGACGTCCATTCGTCCACTCACACCCTGACGTGAAAAGGGGAATTGGGTCAGAGTGACCCTTTTTACACTTTTAGTACATTGAGCATTTAGAGCTAGACTCAGAGCTTTTTTTTTTTCTATAGAAAATAAGGTGCCGGTACTCACCTTAAAGTGTCTGTTACTGTAGTGCTGAAAAAAGAAATGACACCAGGAATGCAAGTATTACGTGTTGCATATTGTTGTGCCTTTCACTTTGTTGTGTCTATCAATTTGTTGTGCCTATCATTTTGTTGTGCCTATCATTTTGTTGTGCCTATCATTTTGTTGTGCCTATCATTTTGTTGTGCCTATCATTTTGTTGTGTCTTCACTTTGTTGTGCCTTTCATTTTGTTGTGCCTATCATTTTGTTGTGCCTATCATTTTGTTGTGCCTCTTATTCTGTTGTGTCTATCATTTTGTTGTGTCTATCATTTTGTTTTGCCTAACATTTTGTTGACCATATCTTTGTATTAGTGGACAGAGTTATTGTTTCATTTGTTATTGTTATTTGCAGGTGACTCCGCTGATCAACCACACAGGGCTCTGTATAAAGTGGCTACTACATGTAAGTTTTTTCGTCTTCACAAACTTCTTCTCCCCACCACTTTTCCTCTTTCTCTGCCTTGACTTCTTTTGCGGAAAAAACCGTCACGTTCAACCAGCATTTCTCCCAAAGGGGGAGAGATTTTGGTTATAATTATGACTAGGTTTATTTGCGCCATATAAAATTGCGTAGCTTGCTCGCCTTCAAGTAACCCTGAATAGAACTCTTGCAGGGTTGATGTGGTCATGATAGACAAACCCAAATACTGTCCCGACTGACGACGAAGCTGTCTAACGGCCAGCACATAGGCGACCTAGTCGTCCATTGATGTCCTATCCTGCATCTTCTTAATATAAAAAGTAGCTACAGGAAGGACCGATTAAAAGAAAGAATGAATGACAGAAAGAAAACTGTACATTAATGAAAGGGGCGAAAGTGAGATTAGTCTGAGATTTGTGCCGGAAATATGCAACAGATTAACTAGGAAATTTGCTTGCGAATTTGCATAAATTTAAAATGCTAAAAAATCTTCAGGAACCAATCGATTTCTGTGGTAAATAATGAGAGGGGGGGGGGGCAGAAGAGGAGTAGGGGGGGGGAGGAGGAGAAGGAGAAGAAGAAGAAGAAGAAGACGAAGAAGAAGAAGAAGAAGAAGAAGAAGAAGAAGAAGAAGAAGACGAAAAAAGAAAGAAGAAGAAGTACCAGTAGCAGCAGCAGCAGGAGGAGGAAGACGGAAGGAGGAGGAGGAGGAAGAAGAAGAAGAAAAAGAAGAAGAAGGAGGATGTAGGTAGGAGCAGGTAGTTAAGAGGAAGTGTGTAGGAGGAAGTAGGGAGTAGGAGATAGGGAGGAGGAGATAGGGAAGGGGAGGTGGAAAGGAGGACGTAGGTAGGAAGGAGGAAGGAGGGAAGAGCGGGGAGGGAGGGAGGAAGGATGGAGGAAGGAAAGAGAAAGGAGAAGGAAGAAGGAAGAAGAAGGAGGAGGAAGGATAAAGTAGTAGGAAGCAGCAGCAGCAGTGGTCTGGAGCGGTATTTATGAAGCGAAGCACTGTAATAACACCTATTAGATTTATCCGTTATTTTCTATTGTAAAGGAACGTTTTCATACACGCCTTCAGGTGTATTAGGCACATAGTGCTAGACATAGTTTAAATACCAGGCAACACTCAGTGCGTGATGTAGTCGGCTGCCTTTACTTCCCAGGACTTCCCATAGTGTCAGTTTAAGGCTGGATCGGCCTGGAAGACAGGGTCTTTAGCTGCTTCACCACGACGGCCTCCCAGTTAAAATTAAAACCGCGTCGGTAATTTTGTAGGCTTTTTTGTGTGTGGATTGGGAGAGAACTAAGCAAGTTCCAGTGGACCAAGAGGTGAAGAAAAGATGCTGGCGTTGGATAGGACACACATTGAGAAAGCTTTAGAACAATATAAATATATTTGCATCAGAACTCACAGGGCCATGGAAGTAAAAACAGACCAGAAGAATAAGAAGCATTTTTGGTGGACCGCCAAGAACTATCTGCAGAGTCGCACTGTTGCACAGAGCACGGGTTGAAGGTCAAGTGTCTGAACATTAAATTTGTTACGCTTTCAACTTGGTGCCCTGAAACACTCCATAACATGGCTGACATATTTTTGGTGCCCGATTTGGCACATCTCTCGAACGACAATGTTCTGCAATGGTCAAAGTTTTGGTAACCGAGTTGAAACGTTCCTGAAAACTTTAAGTAGCAGTAGGTCTTCGTCTTCTTTTTTTGTCCTACTGCTCATGCGGTGAAGCAATGCAGAGAGAAGTTACATGTAGTTTTCTGTACTTTTCTAGTTGCGTAGCCTGTGTTGTGTTACACTGCGTTTCTATAGTGTCTCTTTTACTCTCTCTACCCATCTGTTTCTTGGTCAGCCTCTTGCTTTGTAGCTTGCTGTTCTCGTGCAGTATGCTCTAGCTGCTGGCTGAGTTTGTTCCATTGTTACCAGATGACCAAACATTTGATTCTTAGATGTTCTGTGAAATTGTTCATCGGTACTGTACCTACCACTACTCTATGTTCTTCGTTGTTGTCTTTTGTGGTTTTTACTACACTATATTTATACATCTCATCTCACACTTTGATATATATATATATATATTGCATTTATATTTTTCTAGGACTAACCGTGCCAGCATCTAATAATATAAACAATAATAAATCATACAATACAATTGTATTTATCGGATTAAACCCTTTGGTTTGTTTTGACAGTGGTACAGAGAGCCGACCATTCACAGGCAGTTGTCAAAATACTGAAAGTAACATTTGCCTAGAAAATCCACAACCATTAAAAAAATGCTGCGGTTGGTTCTGCAACGTCCTGTAAAGGACTACTACTAACTTTTCACCCTGTAGACTGATGCAGTGCACATTTGAGTCTGATGCAGTGCACATTTGAGTCTGATGCAGTGCACATTTGAGTCAGATGCAGTGCACATTTGAGTCTGATGCAGTGCACATTTGAGTCTGATGCAGTTCACATTTGAGTCTGTTGAGTCTGATGCAGTGCACATTCGAGTCTGATGCAGTGCACATTTGAGTCAAGAGTACAGTAGAACAACTAGATCATCTGATATCATCAGAATTGGAACTCTGTCTTCTCTGCTGAAGATGGGGATGGGGCACTTATGAAATGATGTAAGATGGGTGGGGGGAGGAGGGGTACTGGTCACCCCGGTTGTCATTACTGGGTGGGTGCAAAATATCAAAAAATTTAATTTGAACAAACATTAACAAATGTAGTGGTTTTTAAAAAAGAGGGGGGGGGGGGGGTTAAATTAAAAAAAAAAAAGGAAAAAATATGTGGGTTTTTTTTTAATTAAAAAAAATAAAAACACCAACCAAAAAAAAAAAAGGATTAAAAATTTTTTTTATTTTTTTAAAAGTATTCAGAAGCCATGAGTTGTTAACCCTTAAGCTCGGTATTATGAATATCGCAACTCTTCTGCCTTGATTCCATGATAGATACCGTAAATCTGGGAGAAATGTGGCTTTTCTGCCTAACCCCGGGTGTGAACCCGGACCACAAGGAGTTTGCCACCCGGTCACCGCGAAGTCAGGTTATGGATAAGTGGGTGACAGGAAATTGTCAGACCACATGACCTTGCTACCCCAACAAGACCGTCTCCGTCTGAGGCTGAGGGGGCATGCTGCTAACCTCACCAAACCCAGCTGACAATAAGTTATCTGCCATTAACTCAGCTCAGTATATATATATATATATATATTGTTTGTTAAAACTTTCTATTTCAGGCTACCTTCTGATTGGCATAACCATGCTTCTGCTGGTCGTCACGGTCTTCTATGACATCCCCGAGCTCAACCTGGGCTACCATTTCTACTTAAAGAGTGACGAGATTCGTCCGAGAACTGACGAGGTTGATGAGCAAACTAGACTAAAGCCCACAGAGTCTGGTAACAGTCACAAGTACACTAAACAAGTGCGTTGTTGATTGTTATCTTTGTGTTATGCTGGTTTTAAACCCCCGACCCCCCTTTTTAAAAAAAAATGCATTTTCATCCAATGGTTGATTTTTATTAGTGGGCGAGAAAACATGTACAGGGTTGTTTTATTTTAATTTTATTTCACCCTATCTAGGGGCTTTGAGATTTCATAGGGAATTCCCCAGAAAGTCCAAAAGCACAGGGGAGTTATGATGTGAAATGAACAAACAATCTACACACAAAAAAAAACACTCAACAGCAACTGGTGACCCAGTGCCACACTGCATCAAGGGACTATGTTGGCGATAATGTTTGTTATCAATTGTCGATATCTGTATAAAGGTCTAGCGTTATATTCCTGATGTGGCAGAGACATGGGTGTGTGTTTGTTTAAACCCCATCAGGACCGTACAACGTCCGACCAGCACCCGGTGACACAAAGTGGGGCTTTAATACGACAAATTGCTCCCCATATTGGGACGGCGAGTACATACAATTAGGGCCCCTGGTAAACCATTGTGTTCATGGGGCCCCTACAACAACCACTCACAGATATGGTTTTATTTATGGCAAGTCACTTGACTTACACGGATTATCATAAGGCCGCTATGCTTGTGGGGCCCTGGGGTAAGTGCCCCCAGCAGGCCCATGCGTGAAGACACCACTAGAAAAGTGTTCTTGATTTTACTTCTATGGTAACTAAAAACAAAAGTAACGATATAAATTCTTATTTCTTCAGGTTGACGACATCCAAAGCATTCGGTCTGGCCAATACCAGAGCTATCAGCAGGATGTGATAACACCAGTCACCGAAGAGGAACCGTGATTACCTGAACATCAAAACCCAGCTGAACATTCAATAGTTACATCCACCATTTATGGTCGGTTCCATATGAACAATTGTTACTGTATGTGGTTCGAATGAAAAGTGACTGTTTATAGGAATACATATAGGAAATCCTGGTCTTTTCTGGCAGAACTAAACCAATGTACTTCACATAAACGTACGTAAAAGAAAGACGTGAGAGCTGCTACAAGTGGACAGATTTGGAAAATGGACATTTACTCTTTCAATTGTAAACAGTTTTTAGTTTTACTCTGCTTAACCTAAAGATTGTCTACTTTGAAGTAATATTTCTTGATTCCTAATGAACTTAAAAAAAAAAAAAAACTTTATGGCAGAAGGAGATTAGTACCAAATGGGATCATTATCATAACAGTGCAGGTTGTTTGGTCACCTGTAATTGTTGACTGTTGATCCGAATTAGAATATCCTTGTGTGGGTTCTGTGGGCCGGGTGGGGAAGGGGGTCTCATCTATTCCTTTCCCCCTTGAAAATGGGGCTCCAGAAACCACATGAAGAAAACTGAGAGATTATTGTACTGCAAAAGTTCTATCCAAGAGAGAATACAGCTGAGAATAGTCTAAAACACCACCAACACATCACAAAACACATCGCACAACATATCACACAACAAACTATTTACCAGAAGTGCAAGTTTACAAACTTGATGGAAAAATATAACACCAACAATAAAAAATGTATGGTAACAAAACACATTTAAAATATATAAATTGCATTATTGTCACCGAACAAATCAGGATTTCCAGTATATATCAGGCACCAATGTAAATGGGAAGTAAAAGTGGAAGGCAGGATGTTGACCACATTACCCACCGAGTACCCGATGAAATATGAAATATGTATAGCATCATATGCCTCATGCACTACTGCTGTGAAAAGAATCCGTTCCTTTGCCTGCTTACCACTGTCAAACATGGACACTGTCTTTGAAAGACAGAAGGAAAATAGTCACGATAGAAATGAAATGTTTGCATATATGCTAGGTGTAATGAGGAAAGATCTACCTAGGAACAATGATATCAGGAGCAGAAGTGCTACAGAACCAGTACTGAACTTCATAGGTAGATAACAAATCAAATGGTTTGGCCATGTAACAAGATTGGCATCATACAGCGCACCACATAGAGCAGTGTTATAGAGATACAACAGTAGTAATAGAGCCAGAGGTTGACCATGCAGAAGATGGTCTGCAGACACTGAAAAGTACTTTATAATGAGCGAAGGGCCCATTCCAGAGATCTGTTCCTGCCCTGAAACCGCGAGGCATTCCAGGAGTGGAGAAAAAAAGAAAAGCAGAAAACTTCCAACTGTAACCCTTATTTGTGTATCAGATACTGTTTGCTGTTTCACGCAAGCATAGTTGTATGGACTGGTTTATTCAATGTACACTTGATTCTTTTCAGTTTCACCAGTGTTAACAAAACAAATGGTTTGTTTTCATTTTTTTTACCTAGACAAATGTGATGTGAGTAGTTTTTGGTTTTGTAAACAATTTGTTTATGGTGAAGTTATTATTCACTTTGTTGTAAGCAGTGCTTTAATGGATGTATAAAGTTTCCAGTGTGGGTTCTGGGGCCCTGTCACAGGTAAAACAAGAATAGACCCACTGCCTACCCAAAAGTATGTCGTCATAGTCAACTAATTTGTAGCTTCCTTCAAAGTCAGAGTGCATCTGCCTGAGAGGCAAGGAACCAGCAGTCAGCATACACATGAGTCAGATCTGTAAAACAGATGCACACACAACACTCAGGTTCTGGAACAGTACTGCAGTTCCAGAAGTGAATGAACAACCGGAACTTTCTGCCAGAGTTTACAGATGTTGAACGTGAAGAAGAAGATAAAGTACAGTGCTAGGCTAAGCAGTTATATTGCCATATGTACATGGTGCCAATTGGAGGCCACAGCAGCTGGGTCTAAAAATTCGTTGGGGAAGATAGAGATGATAATGAATCAGAAGACAGAGATGATCATGAATCAGAAAATAGAGATGATGATAAATCAATGGATAGAGATGATAATGAATCAGAAGATAGAGATGATAATGAATCAGAAGACAGAGGTGATAATTAATCAGAAGATAGAGATGATAATGAATCAGAAGATAAGAGATAATAATGAATCAGAAGAGAGAGTTGATAATGAGTCAGAAGACAGATGATAATGAATCAGAAGACAGAGATGATAATGAATCAGAAGATAGAGATGATAATGAATCAGAAAATAGAGATGATAATAAATAAGAAGATAGAGATGATAATGAATCAGAGGACAGAGATGATAATGAATCAGAAGATAGAGATGATAATGAATCAGAAGACAGAGATGATAATTAATCAGAAGACAGAGATGATAATGAATCAGAAGATAGAGTTGATAATGAGTCAGAAGACAGATGATAATGAATCAGAAGATAGAGATGATAATGAATCAGAAGATAGATATGATAATAAATCAGAAGACAGAGATGATAATGAATCAGAAGATAGAGATGATAATGAATCAGAAGATAGATATGATAATAAATCAGAAGACAGAGATGATAATGAATCAGAAGATAGAGATGATAATGAATCAGAAGATAGAGATGATAATGAATCAGAAGATAGAGATGATAATGAATTAAAAGACAGAGATGATAATGAATTAGAAGATAGAGATGATAATGAATTAGAAGATAGAGATGATAATGAATCAGAAGACAGAGATGATAATGAATCAGAAGACAGAGATGACAATGAATCAAGTAAATTGTCACTCAGTCTTTTTAAGTGAAATTAAGCCTCAAAAAGCAGGTATACACCTACTTAAGCAGCAGTGTAAAGTAAGCAGATAAAGAATAAGAAGAATAGGATACCTAACATCAATATAAAGAATCTAATTGTAAATAATAAGACCCCCCCCCCACCCCCCAAAAATTTTTTTTATATATATATATAAATAAGAATCCAAAAAGCAAGAGCAGCTTCTATAGCACTAGAAAATCTTTTGAAGTTAAAAAGAAATTACAGTTAAACTCAAGATAGTTAACCCCACTGTAAAATCAGTACTGCTGTATGGAGCTGAAACAGGGAGAACAACTTAAACAATCATTACTAACAAACTGTACAGATTCATTCATACTTTTGTCTCACAAATGCTTCTAAAGCAAAAGAAAGTCATGAACTCATGAGAATTCACAGAAAAAAATCCTTTAAAAAAATGTTGCAAACAAATTTTTTTTAAAAAGTCTATTTATTTAAATGCTAAAAAAACATTTTTGTTGTTGTTGACATATATAAAGAGATTTGGGCATATATCAAGAGATATGGACAGTTAGTAAATTAGTGAAAACTTATTTGGAAGCCGCAGAGATGTGGTTTTATAGACGATGATGAGAATACACTGGACAAAAAAAAAAAAAAGGGTAATGAAGACGTCATGAGAGAAATGGCTTACGAAGAGAACTGATTGTCCACAGCAGAAAGAGACAATCTACATTCTTTGGTCATTTGATGAGAAGGAGAAAACTTAAGTTCATTTATATCAGTACGAAAGCTGAAGGGGAGAAGAGGCAGAGGGAGACAGGGAGAACAGTTTGACATCATGGTATGGAAGATCATCTATATGAGAGTTGATTGATAGTACATGAGACAGAAGGTTGTGGACAGACATGACAACCAGTGCCACATGGCATGGATTCTAAGTAGAAGAAAGAGATTTTAAAAAAAAACAAGAGGGTGAACAAAGTGACGTATTAAACAGAAAAAAAATTCTTGGCACCGAAAAAACAAACAAATATGTATCAGGTGTCACATGCCATGACCCTGTGACTCTGAGAATTATGAGAAAAATTTGACATTAGCTTGGCTTTAAGAAATTTACAGGGGTTATACGAATCCCCCCCCCCTCCCCCGCCCCCAATGCTATTTTTAGTTACTATATTCAAATCCTGTCCTCTTAAATTTTGCACAGGCGCACATAGAATTAATAAAATTTAATTACAATTTCTGAATATGAGTCACTGCAGGCGTGCCGATGTGTGTGCATTTACAGAGCAGTGTCTTAACCTAAAGTGATTAAATTAATTCTTCTCAGGGCACAAGTGTCAGTTGTTACAGAAGCAGAATAGAGGCAATGATATGATAAGCTAGAATAATCCTTTTGAAGCTTAGGAAGAAAAATTATTAAATTTAAGTAAACCAAGAGATGAGGAAAAAGACGCTGGCACTCAGTTCAAAAACACACTGAGAAAACTTGACAATAATTTAACTAGAATATCCTACACTAGAACCCACAGGGTAAAGTGGATAAATGAGACTATAAAACATATAAAGAAGAAAACTAGAGACAGAGGTGAAAAACATAGGAAAGACTGGAGTGAGCTACATGAAAGAGCAAAGAAGAGGAGAGTTTGGTCAAAGTTATGTTTATGCTCCTTTGCTGAATAAGGGGCGGGAGAACAGCTTATTAAAGAATATTTGTAAGTGACCAGGATTCAACTCTCCAGTGTGTAAAGATACATTCAGTGTGCTTTCAAAACCAACCGTGTTCACTTTGTTTATAGTTTCAATACAAATGTGATTATGAATCTTGGCTTGTGAAAATACAGGGTAAATATACATGTATATGTGTGTATGTGGTTTTTTTTTTATAGATACATACCAGTGTGAGATGTGTGTCTTAGATGTTAGTGAAATCATTTCCTAATGTAATACTCTTAAGTTTATCAGGGTTCAGTTCCCATAGAGTACAGTTTAGAAACAGGCCATTTTGTGGCTTTCTGATAGTGGAATGAGAGTCGCACCATGGAAGGTATTAATGCCTCACCAAGTAATGCTTTCAGACGCTGGCATAAGCTGCACCGTGGAAGAAATTGGGGCGTCATCAAAGAATATTCCCTGATTCATTAAAGCCAGCCTGCATTTTTTAAAATGTTTTTTTAAACAGCCTGGGCTTGATCTCAAAAGTGGCAAGATTTCTTCTTTTCACTAAAGCTCTGAGGTATATCAAGCCTCATACTGTTTCATTCATTGTACTGTTGTGCTGCTATATGTCACATAAGGCTTGCAGTCTATTCCTTCATTCTCTTGTATACTGTACAATCCCTTCAGCATTATGGATGTAGGGTTGGATTAGGACTCATTGATGCTCTAAGCACTTAAAGATTTGGGAGATAAGGCATCCAGCCTGCCTTGTAGCATAGCTGCTGTGATTTGTTATATATGCTATCATAAACTTTGAGAACCTGGTTTTCAATTCAGTGATTGATACACGACAAGGCAGATGTAGTCAAGGCCTTGTGGGAACAAGCAACGGAATCAGTAGAAGAAGATTCTTATGGCCTGGAGAGAATGAGGCACCAGAGTGTAACCAGAGGGTCAGGCCGGCCAACTACACTCAGAGGAAAAAGGAAGACGGACATATAACCAGATTGTGACCGGTACCATCAGAATTGGAACTCTGCGCTGGCTGCTGAAGATGAAGATGGAGCACACATGGGAATGCCCCGAGTGCTGTTAGGTCAATTCGTGACTCAACTCAACCCAACTGATTTCCCTTCATCCAACAGTGGTGGAATTTTCAATGTACTGCAGCCTTGAAAATGAACACTCAGCTCAAAGGCTATTGCACATTTCTATGGTGCCTCCTCCCTTTGTGATGCCCTTAGTCCGTGCTTAGTGTGCTAATTGGTAAATCCAGTCCTGCATGGATGGAATCCAGTCCAGCACCTTTGGCCTTTCTCATCAGTGTTCCTTTTAGGGTTTCTTTTGGATGTCCTCTCTTCCTTAGTCTCTTTATTTCCCATTTTAGTGACTCTTTGGTGACTCTCTGCTCGATTATTCTCAGGATGTGTCCAGTACAGTGCCACCTTCCGTGTCTTATAACTGTTGTTACGAGTTGTTGCCCAGACATTTCTCTTATTTCTTCACTCCTCTTAAATTCGTCCTGTTTTATGCTCCATATTTTCCTCGGGGATCTGTTGTCAAATACAGTTAACGTTCATTCCACGTCTCATAACAGTGGACACCAGAAAATCTCCAGGGTAGAAGGGAACTGATTACTCCACTTCACACATCATAATCAAGTGTATGTGAAGGCTCGCCATATCACACACCAGTAGCAGTTCTCTTCGATGGGATTTTCTTTGTATATGCTGTCATAAACTTTGGGAACCTGGTTTTGGATTCAGTGATTCCCCTTATCAAACAATGAACTTTCAATCCATTTGTCTTCTCCTTCTCAGTGGTTTTCAGATGAGTCTGTACGTCTTCTCCTCATTCTCCCTCCAAGTGGTTTTCAGATGAGTCTGCACGTCCTTTCCTGAGTCTCCCGTGGTTTTCAGATGAGTCTGTACGTATTCTCCTCGTTCTCACTTTCACTGGTTTTCAGATGAGCCTGCACGTCCTCTCCTGAGTCTCCCTCCAAATGGTTTTCAGATGAGTCTGTACATGTTCTCATTCTCCCTCCTAATGGTTTTCAGATGAGTCTGTACGTCTTCTCCTCGTTCTCCCTCCCAGTGGTTTTCAGATGTGTCTGTACGTCTTCTCCTCGTTCTCCCTCCCAGTGGTTTTCAGATGAGTCTGTACGTCTTCTCCTCGTTCTCCCTCCCAGTGGTTTTCAGATGAGTCTGCATGTCTTTTCCTCGTTCTCCCTCCCAGTGGTTTTCAGTTAAGTCTGTACGTCTTCTCCTCGTTCTCCCTCCAAATGGTTTTCAGATGTGTCTGTACGTCTTCTCCTCATTCTCCCTCCCAGTGGTTTTCAGATGAGTCTGCATGTCTTCCATTGTTTCATTTTGACCTTTAACAAATAAGCTGGAAAAGATAACTAATTACAGGTTTGCTGTGTTGGAGAAAATGGCTCAGGTATCGCAGCCTAACTGTAAACCGCAACACAGGCAGAATAGAAAAGCTTATTACACTGCACACCAGAACCAAAATGAAGAAGTAATCAACTGCTGTTTGGTACAGAATGACTTTATTGTCTGTAAACAGGGTTTACTTTGTACTTTTATTTAACAGATGCCATTACATGTCATTTTAAAGTATGTGTTTTTGTGATTACAAATGTTTCTGTGACTGTGTTTCTGTGATTATAAATGTTTTTGTGTTTTATGTGATTACAAATTTTTGTGTGATTATAAGTCCTCCTTTGTTTACGTGATTACAAATGTTTCCATGTATATGTGATCAGGGGTGTTTATGTGATTATAAGTCTCTGTTTACGCGATTACCAGTGTTTCTGGGTTTGTGTGATTACCAGATGTCTGTGATTATATCACGTTTCTGTGTTTAAATGATCACAAATGTTTCTCTGTTTATGTGATTACAAATGCTCATGTTTATACGATTAATAATATTAGTGCTTGTGTGACCACTAATATTTCTGTGATTTCAATATATCCTGTGTCTATGTGATTTTAAATTTATCTGTGTTCATGTGATTACAAGAATGTGTGTGTTTTTGTAATTACAAATATTTTTGGTTTTATGTGATTACATGATATTGTGTGTTTTTATGATTACAATTTGTGTAAATTTGTCTGTGTTTTTGTGATTACTAAATTTTCTGTATCACATATGATTGCAAGACTTGTCTGTATCAGTTTACTGTCATCTTTCTTTGTCTGTGTGACTTTACTATCATCTTTGAGGTGTTGTGGTTTCTCTGTTATGTTTTCTCTGACTGCAATACGTGACCTTAAACATGTTCTAATAAATCGTTCACTGTACATTATTGGCATTAACTATTTTTCTTAAAGTCCATGCCGCCGTGTAGCGTTGGTAGTCATGTCATCCTTCTGTCTTGTGTGCTTTCAGTCAACCCTGACACTGATAATCCTGCATGCCATGATGTCAAACTGTCCAGGATCTGTTCTCTTGGTGTCCCTCTGCCTCTCCTACATTCCAACTTTCCTACTGGTATTAATTATGCTATAGTTAATACATTTGTGTGTTCAAGAACATATCTGCATTGTTTGTGGATATCGTCATCAACATCATCATGAAAATCATCATCATCATCAACACCATGATCATCATCATCATCATCAATACCATCATCGACGTCGTCATCATCAACACCATCATTGTCGTCGTCATCATCATCAACATCATCATCATTAACATCAGTTCTGCCTATCTGGGTTTCAGGACCCCATTTGGGGTAGGGTAGCCCCCTGCCCATTAACCTTTCCGTCTGTGAATGCTAACAAATAAGTTAGGAGCCTGTGGGAATTTCCACAGAAAAGAACTTATTTAACCAAATTTAACAAAACAAAATTCAACTATTTTACACTGACAACTAATAAATTGTTTCAAAGTTTATTTATCAACAGTTTTTAAATTTTTGTATTGAAATATATAAGGCTATATAAAGGAAGTAATTGGTTAACAAGAAAAAAGTGAAGCATTAAATGGAATGCATTACCCAAGGCATAAAATATATGTATCTGTGACTTCTATAACTTGGGCTTATGGGCAAATTATACGTCAACCTGCTTTAAATAAAAATCATCTTTAATTAGTCAACTCTTACCACATGCATGCTTGGTTCCTCACCTCTCAGGCAGATGCACATCAACCTCAGGGAAACATCTCTAATTAGTCGACTCTTACAACATACACGCTTGGTTCCTTACCTCTCAGGCCTATGCACAAAACTTCAGGGAAACATCTCTAGCTAGTCGACTCTTACAATATACATGTTTGGTTCCTCACCTCTCAGGCAGGTGCACATAAACTTCAGGGAAACATCTCTAACTAGTCGACTCTTACAACATACATGTTTGGTTCCTCACCTCTCAGGCAGATGCACATAAACTTCAGGGAAACATTAGTCGACTCTTACAATATACATGTTTGGTTCCTTACCTCTCAGGCAGATGCACATAAACTTCAGGGAAACATCTCTAACTAGTTGACTCTTACAACATACATGTTTGGTTCCTTACCTCTCAGGCAGATGTACATAAACTTCAGGGAAACATCTCTAACTAGTCGACTCTTACAACATAAATGCTTGTTAGGGGCAGTAGGTCTATTCCCCCCCCCCCCCCCCAATGGAGCCTGAAACCACATGGGGACAAGACCGTACTGTAAATAATCAACAATGACCACAAAAGTTAACAAAATAACAACATAAAACAAAAGCACAAAAGACCACAGGCTAAATAATCAACAATCGCACAAAACCACAATATCACTTTGTAAACAATCGACAATAAACACAAAAAGCCACAGGCTAAATAATCAACAATCGCACAAAACCACAATATCACACTTTAAACAATCAACAATAAACACAAAAGACCACAGTCTAAATAATCAACAATCGCACAAAACCACAATATCACTTTGTAAACAATCAACAATAAACACAAAAGACCACAGTCTAAATAATCAACAATCGCACAAAACCACAATATCACAATGTAAACAACCAACAATAAACACAAAAAGCCACAGGCTAAATAATCAACAATCGCACAAAACACACAATATCACACTGTAAACAATCAACAATAAACACAAAAAGCCAGTCTAAATAATCAACAATCGCACAAACCCACAATATCACACTGTAACCAATCGACAATAAACACAAAAAGCCACAGGCTAAATAATCAAGAATCGCACAAACCCACAATAATACACTGTAAACGATCAACAATAAACACGAAAAGGCCATGTAGCAAATTATCAACAAACATATTTAATATCACGAAGTAATCATGGGAGAATGTGAACAGGAGGGCGTCAGGGCCATCTGCTTGGCCGGGGATGCTGAAATGTTGGGGAAAACTGTACAGGCCACAGTAGGCATCCTGCAGGGCCCTGTGGCAGGCAATCGACTCCCTGAACCCGCCTGCACGTTCGGAATCAGATGCTGTTCTGACGTTCTTAAGATATCTGGAGAATAAATGTAAATCAGCAGTTATAACATTTTAAAGATACTTGAAAAAAAAATCAATTTATCAAAGGGTGAATTAGCAATTGTAACATTTTGAAGATACTTGGAAAATAAGTGTATCAAAAGCGTGAATAAGCAGTTGTAACATTCTGAGGCACAAATAGATCATTATGGTCTGAGGAAAATGGCACTGCAGGGAGTTGCCAGGGGATCTGGCCAACACTCAACAGAAAGGCGAGATAGATGTACAATCAGACAGTCACTGGTACCAACAGAAATCAAACTCTTCGTTTGCTGCTGAAGATGATGACGGAGTGCTTATGGGAGTGTCCCAAGTGCTATGATATTGATTCTTAATTCAACATTTTGAAAATACTCTCACCGCGCAATCCGGTTTAGCCAACTACGCTAGAGAGACGGACTATATCGATTCTTAATTCAACATTTTGAAAATACTTGAAAAATGAATTTATCACAGTGTGAATTAGCAGTCAGGATGCAGGAGGCCCTAAATCCCATGCCCCTAACCAGGTCCCCAACTTTTTTTTAAAAATGACCTTGACTCCCAGGTCGACCCAGCCTTGAGTGGGTACCGGGTGCAGTCCCGGGAAGTAAAGGCGGCTTGGCGTGATGCTGACCACATCACCCATCTTGTGCCATTTGGTCTATAAAAATATAGGTCTATCCCTATATACTCTATTCGCCTAAAGGTGTGGAAAATGGTCCTTTACTTACCTTTACTAACTACTTGAATCGGACATAACAGAAGACATCCCACAGCACACAGTGTCGCATCAAGCACTCAACTCAGTAGCTGAGCGATGGAACCTTTGGACCCACAGTCCATAAATAGGGAATATGCACTACCTTTATGGTAATTCAAAGACAGTACCAATGGATCAGAAGGCAAGCATGCTAGCTACTGCACCATCACTTCCACTAGTAGCTTGCTAAAAGAACTGAGTTAACAATCAACTTCTCAGCACTCAGGAGAATCCCACAGGTGCTCTTTTCCTATCCTCAGCAGCCACATACTTCTACTTATCTAGCCCTGTTCTGCCTTTCAGCATCAGCTACTGAAGAGATGATGGTATTTATGGTCTCAGATATTCCATATATTCATCACTTGCATGCTCGACCTTAAGCTATGCTTTGCCCGGCTCTCTAGCGTAGTTGGCTAAACCAGACTGCGCAGTGACAAGGTGACGAACTCCTTGTGGTCCGGGCTCATTCCTGGGGGTAGGCAGAGAAGTCACATTTCTCCCAAATTTAGGGTATTTACAATGGAATCAAGGCCGAAATGTTGGGATATCCATAATACTGAGCCTAAGGGTTAACAACTCATGGCTTCTGGATACTAAAACAAACAAAGATAAGCTCTGCTTTCATTATGTCTAAGTGAGACAAGGCCAGATATGAGTTAAAATATGTCAATAGAAGGACTCACCCTTCAGCATAAATATCATCCATGGAGGGTGGTTCGGGGCCACACCACTCCATGACCAATGGACGATAGGTGTATAACTGGCCAAAGTCCTGTTTCACCAGAGGAACTATCTCATTATGGTGACCCTGTCATTAATCAAAGAAATGAGTACAAGTTTAGTTAATTGCCAACTCTTTTGCTCTCAAACAATACAGGATGTGTTACTGACTATTCCCTACATGTCTTAAACATCACATCAAGTGTCTTCTTATATTTAGGTTATGGTCAGTTATACTAAATAAATCTGGCAACCACAGAAGTATCTTTCATTCATTTTTCATTTCTACAACACAGTAAGTGGTTAGAATTTGCATGGCAATATTTAATGAAAACAATAATGATCTATTTAAAAAACCTTAAATGACTGAAAGAGTTACACAGTTGCACACACAACTGGGAAATGAACAGAGAGACAGACAGGCTGGTTCTGCACCATTTGGTAGAAAAATCATGCATGACTTGCTAGACAAGGTTCAGGCCCTTTGGGAGCCTGATGCAGTTAGCTACTTAGTCTTTCCTCTTGTGCCTTAGGCGGCGAATAGGGCAGAGGTCATAGCTCTCCATGTCTGGCGGTTCGTTGCCACCTGATTTAAGTCTTGGATATTCATAGGCCCATGGTTGAGGTTTCCCTGGTGATGGTCCTACGCAGAGTCTCTCTTGGTCTTCCCCCTTTTCTTTTCCCTTCCGGTGTTCATAAGAGGGAGTCTTGTCTTATCCATTCTGAGTGCATGGCTGATAAGTAAACAGTTCTGAGGTACAAACAGATCATCATGGTCTGGAAAGAACAGTTCGGTGGGGAGTGATCAGAAGATCAGATTGACATTCAACACTCAGAAGAAAGGTGAGATGGGCATAAAATCAGACTATTACAGGTACAAGTGGAAGGAACTGAAACTGTGCGCTAGCAGCTGAGATTAGGGTGGAGCATTTATGGGAATCTTCTGGGTGATGTGATCTCAGTTCTTAACTGAACTCAAAATTTTTAAGCCTCTCATGGAATGTGAAATATTAAAGCAGATAAATGGATGGTCACATAGAACTAGAAAGGAATATTCAGATTCTGACTAGACTGGCACCTCTGAATCTTTTCAGATTGACTGTTTCAGATTGACTGTTTCAGTCCCAGCCATTTCACAGTTGGAAATGAAAAATGAAAAAAAAAGCATGAGTAATACTTTCTAAGGAGCAGCATATATTAGGCATTATATTAAAACATTTGGCCAGATTTATACACTATGCTCAGATCAAACGTAAAAGAGACAACACAGTGTTTCGTGATACAAAGGGGCAATAGGGATCACACATGGTGCATTCCTTAGGACTGAATGAGCTAAACTATTACCCTGTGCTATAAGAAGGCAGGGGGAGAGGTCTGTGGTGAATGTGAGTCACTAGCATTAACAGGGCTTTCAGATTTAAAGTAAATACAGTAGAACCTCGCTTAACGAGCACCTCGCATAACGAGTAATTCGCATAACGAGCAAAACAAATTGTAAAAAAATGAGTTGCTTAACGAGCGACGTTTCGTATAACGAGTGGCGGGGAGAGGGGAAGTCCCGAATTGTGCGCATATTACATCAGCCTGGGTTTAGCACTCGTTCCAGTAGCATCGCAGTGTCGCTTGTGATCACACATTTTCTCAAAGCTTGTGTTATATTGTGCTATATGTATATGAATCTTCCAGGCCTAAAAGATTACCTCTCTAAAGAATTTAAGTTCATTAGGATCCAGTTTCTGCCCCCAACACCACTCCGTTACTCCAGCCCATGGACCAGCAAGTTATTTCTAACTTTAAGAAACTCTACACTAAAGCACTCTTCAAGCATTGTTTTTAATTGACTAAAGGGACCAACCTCACTCTAAAAGTTTTGACGAAAAATCACTTCCATATCGTTGCCTGCCTCAAGATGATCGACAAGATGGGAGATGGGGTTACCAAGAGAATTCTAACTTCTGCTTGGAAGAAGCTTTGGCCGGAGAGTGTTGTCTATTTGTGACTTTGAGGGGTTCGAGACAGTGAAACCTGTATTCAATGAGATTGTGTCTTTGGCCACTATCATGGGGTTGTAGGTGGATAACAGTGATATCAAAGAGCTTGTGGAAGAGCACAGCCAAGAGCTGCGTTTTCAAGGAAAGTTTGTCAGAGGAGGAGGTAACAGAAAAGCAACACATTTCTGGCAAAATAAGAGAAATGCTGAAAGCATGGCAAACTGTTGCATCTTACATTGAGAAGCATAGCCCTAATAAGGAAGTGGCTATGCGCGTTGCAAATTTATTTAATGATAAAGCTGTGTCGAATTTTTGCTGAATTTTTAAGCGTCGGCAAAAAGAATTCTCTGGACATCTTTCTAGTAAAAAAAAAATAATAATTAGCCTTGTATCATAATTATTTCGACTTTTTTTTCTTCTTCTGCAAATCGAATTCATGTGGGTTTGTTACGCATTTAAAGAAAAGATGAAAATGATCCACTCTCCTTAACAATATGTATATAATTTTCTTTGAATAAACGTTATACAAAGCATTTTGTGAGTATCTTTTTCGACATGGAATGCATTATCGTATGTGACATTAATTTATATGAGAAAAATTGTTTCGCATAATGAGTGTTTCGCTTAACGAGTATCCTTCTGGAACGAATTATGCTCGTTAAGCGAGGCTCCACTGTAGTAAGTAAAGGACCTTTTTACCCACCTTCAGACATACTGGTCATAAAGTGCTAGACCTAAATTTTAAAGACCAAAATCGGAACTCGGTGGGTGATGTCGTCAACAACACGTCGGCTTTCACACAAAAACATGTGGCATTTCTGGACCATTGTTGCCATCATATGATCACGCTCGGCTATAAACCTGAATGTAATTATGTTCTCATTCCCTTCCTGATTTGTCTTTTCCAGGCCACATGATCTATAGCATTCCTTTTCTACGAATTCCTCTCACTACCTGTATCAAATCATGCTCCGCTTGCACAAATCTTTGCATCATAGTCAAGGCTCACCCTAATATCTTCTACACATCTGTAATTCACCATAAAAGATGACTTGGAGATTCTACCATCCCCCCATCTGTAAAGCCTTCTTAGCCATTCAAGTCCTCAGAGACTGAGTCAGAATCACAGGGAAAGGAAATCCATAAATATTTCTTGTTTTTAAATCAAGATTCATACCTATTTTTTTTCTGATAGTAACATCTATGCTCACATTTCTTACATATTCAATACATCTGTGTTTTTATCCTAACTGCATATATATATATATATATATATACATTTAATTATATTTTTTAAATTAACATACTTTATAGTATTCAGTCTTGATTTATCTAAAGAATCGGCGTCTGTGCTTAGGCATTGCGAACGAGCTACTTAGAAAAAAATTCTGGGGTTGGTTCTGCAAGGTCCTGTAAAGGATACACAACTAACTTAACTTATCTAAAGAAAAAGAAGAGAAGGAGAAGTAGGAGAAGAAAGAGGAAGAGGACTTACGATCCTGATTCCTGTAGAGAATGCAGTGGCTGCAGCTTTAGCCTGGAGTTCCTCCTGCTCCTGCTGAACTGCCTCCTTGTGGGAGTTGAGGATTTCATTGGCCGACTTGTCTGAGAACATCTGTGGAAGAAAAGGTGGCCAGTTCAACTTAATGCAGATGTCACAGAGACGGGACAACAAAAGTACCCACTGCAATAATCATATGTTGTTGTTGAATGTTGCTGATTTGAGAATCAACATCACAGCACTCGGAACACCCCCATAAGTGCTCAATCCCCATCTCCAGCAGCAAGCAAAGAGTTAAAATGCTGATGGTACCAGTAACTGTCTGATTGTATATCCGCCTCACCTTTCCCCTGAGTGTCGAGCGTCGGCCAGATCCCCTTGTAACTCCTCGCAGTGCAAATCTCCTCAGACCGTAATGATCTATCTGTTTCTCAGCAGCAATAATCATATGAAGATAGAAAACATGCTGGGGAAAGATTGCTCGAGATAACTACCGGGAAAGATTAAACAGTACATCACAAGAACAAAGGTTTGCATATGAGGTGTTAATATAAAGTAACCTCCAGACCAGAGCAAGTCATTATTATTTATTCTATGCCTTAGAAGATGACCTAATTGACTTCGCAGCCACATGTACACCAAATTTAAAACTGATGAAACAGCCATGAGTACATGTGGATTATGTCCCCCAAGACTGTCCCAAATACAACATATCAAGGCAAAACTTTTGGCCAAGAGAAACATCAGTGCAAGTCTAACTTTACGGGTCACTGAGTGAATTACAAGACAGTGAAGTTTAAACTAGAGACAACATTGCAGATACAGATATTCTATGTCAAACGAAACAAAAAGAAGAAGAAATAAACTCGTGTGGATTCCAGGGCTTCATTATAAGGCGAAACACGGACCCATTGCCCTCTAAAGAGCATGTTATCAAAGGCAACTAATTAGCAGAGTTTTCTTTAAAGTCAGAGAGCATCTTCTCTAGAGGCCAGGAACCAACAGTCTGCTGATAAATATGCCAGATCAGTAGAATGGATGTGCACGCAAAACTAAAGTTCTGAAACAAGACCAAAGTCCAGAAGTGGACACAGAGCCAGAACCTTTCATGTCATTTATCTTTCCCCCCGCCCTTCCTCCACAGGGATGTCATGGGCAAAAATATACAATACTAAAACAGAAAGAAAAAAAACTATATATCCCAATTATAACCCAGATGGGTTGAACAGGGCATCATTAAATTATAACTTCTTCTTTCGCTTTTTATCCCCCAATGGGGGCCTAGGCCCTCAATCAACTCAGGCGAAGTTGTCTTATCCTCTGCTATCACAAGGAGCTCACCCCATGTCTTTCGCATTTTTTTTAACCTCACTCTCAAGTTCCATTCTCCACCCTTGTGGGTTTCAGTTTTTCAGACATTCCAGTTATCTTATTCTCAGGCTTTCTCAGCATCCGTCCTATCCAACACTAGCGTGTTTTCTTCACCTCTTGATTTACAGGAATTTGTTAACCAGAAATGTGTAGACAATCAATTCAATTGTCACAGATAACAAAACCAGAAATGTGTAGACAATCAATTCAATTGTCACAGAGAACAAAATCAGATGTGTAGACAATCAATTTAACTGTCACAGAGAACAAAATCAAATGTGTAGACAATCAATTTAACTGTCACAGAGAACAAAATCAAATGTGTAGACAATCAATTTAACTGTCACAGAGAACAAAATCAAATGTGTAGAAAATCAATTTAACTGTTACAGAAAACAAATACAGAAATGTGTAGACAATCAATTCAATTGTCACAGATAGCAAAACCAGAAATGTGAAGATAATTAATTTTTATTAAAGCTTACCAAGTCATCAATCAACGCTTGCTTGTGCTTTCTCTTAGCTGCTCTTTCTCGTTTTTCATCCTCTGTGATGATCTTCTTTCTCATAAAGGACTCATACTGTTCTTGCTCAATCAACAGCTCCAGGTATTCCTCATCTTTGCTCTGTGATTAATGTACAGACCACAGGCACTAAAGTATATATTTCAAGTGTGTGGTCCAAGGCCCAGGGCATGGGGCAGAACAGATTCACTGTTCCCCAAACAAGCATGTCATAAAAGGCAACTAATTAGGACTTTGCTAAAATCAGATGTGTTGGGCCAAAAAGTGCAAATATTGCAGCCTTGATTTTAGGGTATAACGAAGAAGAAGAACCAAAAAAGAGGAAAAGAAATACAAATGTTTAAGATTTTGGCACTATGGCATCACCAAAGTGCATACTCCCACAATGGTTTCTGTGTGGCCAATGTAGGGGTAAAAAGTTTAGACCCAAGCAAGTTGTAAAAGGTGATTTATTAGGTGTTTGTTGAAACAGGAACTAAACATAACTTCCTGCCCCTACTTACCACTTTTACAGTGTAGGAAAAAGGGCTTTGAGCCTGAGGATTTAGGACCGCGTGGCTAGTGTTGTCACCACGGACAGTGCAAGTTAGGATTTTAATTTTACACCCGACCACACACACACACAAAACACGCACAATCTTACAGAGGATTTGAACCCAGGTCTCCAGAAATTGGAGGTGTTGCGAGAAAAGTCAGATTTTGCTACCTAGATGCAAACTGCACCACACCTTTTAATCCGGAATGGAGAAGAAGAAGAATAGGAAGAAGAAGAAGAAGAAAAAAAAGGAAGAGGAGAAGAAGAACAAATACTAATGTTAGGAGATTTTGGCCTTATTTTAAGGAAAAATATCTGTATCAAAAATGATTGACAGAATGTTTGACAGAAGGCTGTGGATAGACCTGATGACCAGCACCACACAGAACGGCTAGCCCTTGCTGAGAGCATCGCACAGAGCATGAACACTGCAGCTCCAGTGACAATCCCCAGGAATCTCAGTAAAAAACACACTCGTGAACTGAACAATGCAGCCACGAAATGAACCCATGATCTTCAGAGCGCGAGGCAAATGACTTGACCATTTCGCCATGGAAACCCCTGAAAATCACATTATGCAGCATAGAATCAAATGGCTGAAATCATTGAAGGCTGCAAACCAACTACAGCGTGACATTAACTTGACCCTGTTATCGGGTAACCAGGGTAGCCAATGGGAAAACTATGATGACGAAATTCATATCTTCTTCTTCTCATTCACCAACTGTAAACTCCAGCAGAAAGTTTAGGTTGTTCATCCACTTCTGGACTCCAGTCCTTTTCCAAAACAGGAGTGTTGCCTGCCCATCCATTTTACAGATCTGACTCATTTGTATGCAAACTGGTGGTTCCTTGCCTATCTAGCAAATGCGCTCCGACTTTGAAGGAGGCTCTAAGTTAGTCGACTCTTACGACATGCTTTTGTGGAGGCAGTGGGTCTTATTTTGTTTTCCCCATAATGGAGCCCAGGAACAGACACAGGGAGAAATTTTGGGAAATAAAAACAGTTTTGAAAAAAGAAGCCCATTAAATGTTATTTGTAGTTAATTTAGTAATGTAATGCTGAAATTACCAAACGTTTGTACAGATGCATTTCATTCTGTTAACTAGGCATCTTATAAATATATCACTGTAGCAAATTCAGGAAAGCATCTAATTTGGGGAAGCAGTACCAATCAACAAATCATTACTGTAGAGCTTTGGGAGAGAACTAAGCAAGCTCCAGTGGACAAAGAGGTGATGAGAAGACGCTGGCGTTGGATAGTACACACATTGAGAAAACCGGAGAACAATATAACTAGAATATCTTTGCATTGGAACCCACAAGGGCATGGCAATAAAGGAAGGCCAAAAAACATATTAAGAAGAGAGCTAGAGAATGAAGTTAAAAAGATGGGGAGGATATGGGGAGAGCTGCATGTGACAGCAAAGGATAGTACGACCTGGCGTGAGTTGGTTGAGGGCCTATGCTCCACTGGGGGCTAGAAAGGCAGATGAAAGAAGAAGAAATACCAACCAAAAATGTCGGCTGTGTGGCTTCTCGGGGTGAAAGAGTTAGGAAAAGAACAAATGGGCAGAACCTGAGAACAGTTCATATATGACAACCACAGAAATACCTCTTACCACTTTCGATAAGTTCTTTCTGATTTGTTCTTTATTCTCTTTCTTGTACTGTTCAATCATCCTCTTTGTGTTATCAACATCAATGTTATTACACAGGTTGAATACTGTTAAAGAAATTGTATCATTAATAAAATCATCACAGCAACACTACAACAAGCAGCCACACATGTAGTAATCATACATAACAATATGTTGCCACACACACACACAATCTAGAGAATCTAGGTGGCTAGAGAACAAGATGCATACACATGTCGTAACTGTAACAGACTCTGAGACATGCTGAGAAAGGTGAAGACAGGGATGCTTCGAGCAGAGTAGCAAGCTTCACTGGGAAGGTCACGGATAGTGAGCATACTTTGGATCTTTTCTCCAGGCCATGCCAGCATAGTGGGTAAAGAACAGACAGACAAATTGGCTGGATCTGCACCATTGGGTGGTGAATTGATACACGACAAGGCAGATGTGGTCAGGGCCCTTTGGGAACAAGTAACGGAATCGGTAGAGAAACAAACATTATTATGGCCTGGAGAGAATGAGGTACCTGGGTGTAACCAGAGGGTCTGCCCGGCTCACTACACTCAAAGGAAAGGCAAGACGGACATATAACCAGATTGTGACCGGTACCATCAGTAATGGAACTCTGCGCTGACTGCTGCTGAAGATGAGGACGGAGCACACATGGGAATGCCCCGAGTGCTGTAAGGTCAATTCGTGACTCAACACAAGACACACAAAATCAGAAATACTGCTAGATCCAACTCTGAAATGACATCAAACCAAATGAAAAGTAGAACCTGACAGCTTACATTATCGAAAACACAAACAAGTGAAGGTTGCGACTAGAGAGCCTTCATCAGCACAATACATGAATATACAATCACATAAATATGAACAAGAAATACACAAAATCACAAAAGTATCTCGGACAAAAATCACGTGCCTGTCTGGCCCAGATGAATGTCTGACACTTGAGTGACCATCAGAAAAACAAGACTAACCAGAAAAAGGATGTGAATGGCAAGGGCCATAACTAAAAAAATATTAGACAAAACTGTGTTCGATTATAAGTCCCTTCGGCAAAAAGGAGCTCGTTAGGCAGATAAAAGACAGCATACAAAAGGTCCATTGCATATAACTCAGTAGGAAGGATGCATCAGTGGTACGATGGACAAATATTTTCCCCCCACACACACACAAACCCGCGCACCCACACACGTACACATATAAACCCTTTCACCATGTGGATGGCTTTTTAAAAAAGTCACTATAAATTTAAAAAAAAATTTGTATTTACATTTTTAAAATATAAAAAAGTTGTAATATATTGTAAAGCATAAATGGAACCCATTAATCGGGGCCCTCAAAACAATACATGTACTGGATGACTCATGCCGTGACAGTGTAACCTCTATCATTGAGGCTTATGGGAGTTTGTGACATCGACTTTGCTTTAAAAAAAACCATTGGAGTCAAAAGAAAACCATATGAAATGTATCATAAACCTTTATGCTACACTTCTGCATCTGTGGCTTAGGCGTTGTGAACTTGCTTCGTAATGCCGGGTTCGATCCCAGCTGAGGGCTTTGCGCCATGCATTGATTTCGAGAAACCGACCGTCCAGAAAGCAATACCAAATTACTGGACGTAAATTTGCCTAGAAAAACCACAACAGCCAAAAAAAAATGCTGGTGTTGGTTCTGCAACATCCTGTAAAGGATAAGCTACTAATTTTTTTTAATAGGTCACACAGCCTCGCTTTGAAGTTAGTTGCCCTTCTGTTTTACGACACAGCAGATTGACCCTGGAATTTGTAGGCTGTGTCGTGTTTTAGAGGAATGGCTGACTGAACAGTTTAAACGCTGGGCACTCATGTAAGAGACACAGGTTCAAATCCTTTGGTAGGTGACAAGAGGTTTGTTTTGTTGGTGACACACACAAAAACATCCAAACTCATGGCAACTGCAATAGCCATGTGGCCTTTACTCCGCAGGTACACAACTCCCTGTCCAACAGAGTCCAAAACAGTGGTATTTATTTACAGGCAGTAATGGCAATTTCTGTTGCTGCTTTTGGGACACATTTTCTAGCCAATTACTTGTTCAGTTGTTTAAACACATATAGTAACAACTCCTTGTGTAGGTTCTGGGGAAAACAAGAACAGACCCACTGCCTGCCCAAAAGCATGTCGTAAGAGTCGACTAATTGGAAGCTTCCTTTGAAGTCAGAGTCCATCTGCCTGAGAAGCAAGGAACCAACAGATCTGTAAAACGGATGTACAAGCAAACAGTTTCTGGAACAGGACTACAGTTCCAGAAGTGAATGAACAACCAGAACTTTTCCGCAGAAGTTTACTGCCAGCGAACGCGAAGAAGATTCAACAACAACATGAATTAAAAAAGCTAATCACTCCACAGCCTCAGTACATCCGTATCATCAACGTTCAACTTACCGATAGTTTCAATCATTTCAAGGTAATCATTGTACTCTTTAAGGCTCGGAAAATCATCTTGCTTTTTATTGAAACTGAAAAGTAAATATGTTCAAGTTTACATATAGATATACACTAATATTAATAATAATCATCTTGCTGTACAGTTGTACAGAACATAGGGTTCACAGTTAAATATTACATCAGTGTTCTTCAAACTGTGGGCCACAAACAAGTCAAGGTGGCAGTCAAAATGTTTGCCTAATCGTGAAATGGGTTATGAGAGGTATTTTTTTTTTCCGCCTCTTTCCTGATTGCTGTCTGCAGGATCAAAATCTCTAATATGAGAATCAAAAGATGTCACACCGGCTGAAATTGTAATTTTTAATCTATGTTCTTCCCATTTCAGCACCTGTTTTGTTTTTTGCAACCCTATCCATTTCTTATGTGATATATATATGTGTGTGTGTGTGCATGTGTTTTTTCAACTGTTGTTGCAGATTAAATATTTGAAAAAGCATTATCAAACACACACACACACACTGATATATGATGGAGGTGAAAAAAAAGTTCAGAAGCTAGACAGCGCACACGAGTCCGGAGGGCGACTGTTTGCTTGTGGCTTTAAATAATGTAAAGGACCCATTTCCACGCCTTCAGGTGTATTGGGCATATAGGGCTAGACCTATATTTTATCGACCAATCGGCGATTGGTGAGTGATGTGGTCAATATTATGTGAGTCGCCTTTACTTCCCCGGACTTCACCTGGTGCCCATTTAAGAATGGGTTGACCTGTTTGTGGTTTGACTAGGCACTTTATGTTCAGTACTGAATAAGTTATAAAAATATTTAATATGAAACAACAAAGGTAATTAAAACAAATTTTCAAAAGGCTGAACAATTCAACTTACTCTCTCAAGACTTTTTTCCGAATATCAATTTCCTTTTCGACAGAAGGATCTTCAAAAATCTGAAGCTTAAAGTTTGATCTTCTTAAGGGAGTTTCACACTCAGGGCATGCACCAGATCCTTTGACAAACAGAGATTCTACACAAGTCTCACATCTGTGAACAGAAATGTGCAGCGCTATATATATATATATAAAAGGGGAGCCGCCGTTGTCTAGCGGCTAGATGCTTGCTTGCGGATCGGAGAATCGTGGGTTCGTTTCCTGACGGGGCGGAGTTGACTTTTTCAAAAATGACGTTGGCTGCCTGGTCGACCCAGCCTTGAATGGGTACCAGGTACAGTCCTTGGAGGTAAAGGCGGCTGGCGTGATGCTGACCACATCACTCACCAAGTGCCGTCTGGTCTATAAAATATAGGTCTAGCCCTATTTACCTAATACAAGCCCGGCTCCTAGCGTAGTTGGCTAAACCGGATTGCGCTGTGACTTGGTGACGGAACTCCTTGTGGTCCGGGTTCACACCTCGGGGGTAGGGAGAAAAGCCACATTTCTCCCAGATTTACGGTATTTATCATGGAATCAAGGCCGAAAGGTTGCGATATCCATAATACCGAGCCTAAGAGTTAACAACTCCTGGCTTCTGGATACTATAAAAAAAAAAAAAAAACTTATTACACACGAAAAGCATATAAGAGGTGCTTTACTTTAACTTTTTATATATATATATATATCTATAAAAGAATAAAAACAATGAAAATGTAGTTATGATCATCACCATAATCGATTTACACTTCTGCCATTAAACGTCATGGGGAAGGACCAAAGTGTCATCCAATGCTCAAAGTGCCATCCTGTGTTGTCATTAGAGGTGTCAGATCCTGGCCATTCCTTTCCTTTCCTTGCCTGAGAGGCAAGGAACCAACAGTCTGCATATAAATGAGTTAGACCTGTGAAACGGATTTGCATGCAACACTCATTTTCTGGAACAGGAGTAGAGTCCAGAAGTGGACAAACAGCCAGAACTTTCCACTGGAGTTTACAGCCAGTCAACGCGAAGAAGAAGATCCTGGTAAGATATGACTGAGCTACTGTGTAACAGTAGCAGGTACCATCTGTCTTCTGTTAAGCCAAATATTGGGTGGCATATACCAAACCTGACATCCCATACTGTGCCAGTGGCTTCAGGCAGAGAAGCCCATTGAGGAGGATCTAGCCTTATCCTAGGATGAGGAAATGTAACCTGAAAACTTTATGTTATGGCAAACCAGCTCTTAGCCTTGGCAGGTCTAGGAGGGAAGGTCTGACAGGCGGACAGATAAGACTTCTGCAGTCTACTTTGTTCCAAATATACAGGCGTTAGCTTCCCTTTTAAGTAAACAAGATAGGTGGAAAGTGGGATCATGATGTATGTGCAACGTATGGTCTCTACAATACTGCCCAGGCTTTGTGCTATGGATAGGATGTGCCTCCTCATATAATCATCTATATTAATAAAAATGTTAATTTTCCGAGTTTGTTAACTATAGACTAGGACACTACTGAACCGCTTGCTTTCAATTTTTTACACAACGTTGCCTTTGACGCAAAGCGTGATTTTTTGTCAGAAAATCGCACAAACCATGAACGGCGTAGCTCCAGCAACGGTCAAATCATTATTTGTTTCATTGCCGGCCCAGATTTGTTTTTAGCTGATTGGCCATTTTTGACTTCTTAGCTCTTATTGAACTTTGCATTACTATATAATTTCATTTCCACAATCTGCTTGAGTGTTTGGTAGCATAGTTGTAAATATTCTGCCTAGCATGCGAGTGATCGGCGTTTGGTTCCTCGCTAGGTGATAATAAATTTTTTTTTATTTAGCCCTAAACTGAGCAGCTGGCACGTTGTGTTGTATGGCTAGGCTGCAATATCTATGCCTTTTTTTCGGTTTTGGGGTTTACAGCTAACCTGCGATAGCAGCGACGTGATGCTCAATGGTCATGTCACGGGTAATCTTCGTTCGCCCTCGAGAAGGCCGTTGGCATGTTGTCTTGTGGTTTACAGCTAGGCTGTGATATCTGACCTAAACTCTTCAGTCTTCGGTAGTATTGTTGTTAGTATTCTACCCTTCACGGGTAACCGGTGTTGGATTCCCCGCTGGGTGATAATTGTTCTTTTCCCCTTAAAAGGGTGGTTGCCACGTTGTGTTGAGGTTTACAGCTAGACTGCAATATTTGCGCCTTTCGACCAAAGACATCCGATTTCAGTAAAGTCCCAGTTAGCCTCCCCGCGATGCTTCTTGGTTTAAGACTATTCAACCATGACAGAATCTGTTAACTAAGACTGGCTTACAGTCCAGTTTAGTTTGGGTGGACATGGATGCCAAGGTCAGTTAAAAATTTCCCCTTCGGAGAGGAAGAGATGATGTGTGCGGGATATTTTTCTCCGCTATTTGTTAGTATAGTTTACTTTTTATTGTGGGTTCCATCACTGGTTAGGTGATAAAGTTGTTTTTTTTTTCTATGTCAAGGGCAAAATTAAACTAAACAGTCCGTGGCAACAGCATGCGGCGCTAACTCCTCTGGCTACACCGAACTACACATATTGTAGTGACAGTTTTTGTTGTTGTGATGGTGGTAGCTGTAGCAGTAGTCTGGTACTGCATGGGTGATGTGGTAGCTGTTACACTGGCCACATGTACTTCTCAGTACAAATTAATGCTACCCATTTTAGTCTGGGTGGACACGGATGCTCAATTTAGTTACAATATTTCGTCAGATGATGACTTTCCCATCCTTCGGAGAGTATGATATGATTAGTGGGGGAGAAAAGTAAGGGGGGTTGATGCCAGACACTATTAACTGAGAGAGCTTAAAACATTATTTTAAAGTTCTCATTTCTTAGCTATATTTTTTTTTTTTTTAAATTTCGCCAGGAAAGATTTTTCAATCCTTCGGGGATGAGGTTTAGTGATTTTTAGTGTATGCACGCGACTGTGTTGTTTGTTGTATAAAGCTGGCATTCTAAATACAATGGTGTGTTTCTTTCATGTGAGGAGGTTGACTGCACCTTCAGGATTGTGTTCTGGATGCGAAGTATGGGTTTCAATTGCTGCCTTAACTCTTTGAGTCCCAGGAGGTTTAGCATTAGAGGCCCAAGGGGTAGTCAACAAGAGAGACGTAAAATCAGTGCACCTTGCGTTCACTGGGCTTTTAAGTAGGAACCTGTAAACATATGATGCATTCCTTGGGACTGAAAGAGTTAACTTTATTTAGGTTTTATTTTCCTTATAAGTGACTGTTCTTATTTCTCTTATTTTGCTACAGAATACCAAAGAATTATGACTTTCCCAGTGACAACTACTTGTGTGTTTTAGCATTTTATAAGTAAGTTTAAAACGTTCGATCATAAACAAATAAGTTACTGTATATCAAGTATTATTTATTTTGGACACAAAATATGAATCTGAGAGGTACTTATGTTTGTTTTAGTATCCAGAAGCCATGAGTTGTGAACCCTTAGCTTGTTATTATGGATATCGCAACCTTTCGGCCTTGATTCCATTGTAAATACCGTAAATCTGGGAGAAAATGTGGCTTTCCTGCCTACCCCCTGGGCGTGAACCAGGACCACAAAGAGTTCGTCACTCGGTCTCTGCGCAAACCGGTTTAGCCAACTACGCTAGAGAGCCAGGCGAGAGGTACTAAAAAAAGTAATTTCCTCTATGTATTGTAATTGTTCATAAGTATTATTTAAATAAATTATAAATGACATTAAAAACTTGAAATATTGGCTTAGAATTGACGTACAGACGTGAATGAAGTACCGCGGTTAACATTTTTTAAATATCTAACCAACTAATGTTAGCTGCATTATTAATTTAAATATAAAAATAATTCTCACAATTTGACTCAAATTAAAAACTAAGTACGTCTAGAAATTGTAGTATTTAATAGTATAGTAGTAGTAGCGACTACGGTTTCGGCAATTTGCGGTCTTTTCACAATTTCCATTACCCTGGAAACCGTTCAAAACTTGCTTCGCAAATGTCGGCTGGGGTTTCGGGATGTGTCCTAATCTCTCATGAAATTTTGCGATTGGTGTGATTTTCACCCACTATAAAAAGCTGAAAACGGCGGGAAGGAACCAGATTAACAGCGCATGTCTACGACAGCCGGACGTCCTCTGTTTTTCTGTTACATCAGTTTGATTGAAAATAGCGATAAGTATTCAGGGTTGGCTTTAGGCTTTAACTGTTACTGGCCCTGGTAATGCTAGTTATAATTTAATTCTCCGTCCATTTTTACATGTGTGTATAAAATTTCTTTCTGAACAGTGGCTTGGTAGATGTACAGTGACATTTTTCAGGCAATTGCTGGCTCAGCCAGTGGCTGTGTCTCATTGTCTGCCATCTTGTCCAATGACAGTCCAATGTAAACAAAGCCAAAACGATAAGTGCGCAGTTTGGTTGCGCAGAGAAAACCTTGTTTCTAAGACAAGTTTTAGCAGCTGCTTTCTACATCTCATCTCCACAAAAACCTACATATCTCAGCTCAGAAATGACATACAAGCCTAAATGAGGTACCGTTGGAAAGAGATTGTTTGCAGCTATCTAACTGTGCTGGTTTTATTGGTGTAGAGGGCATTTTGAAAATTTGACCAAGTCTAAAGTACCTACTTAAGTAGTAGTAGAAATCAAACTTACAGCGAGTGTCCGCAAATATTTACCATCAACTTCAAAGATGGATTTCTGTATTTGGTTGTTTTACATCGGGGACAACCTTGTTCATCCATGTTGTTAAATCCTGAAGATATAACCCAGTTTCTTGGTATGTCGAAGCAGTAACTTCAGGTTTTATAACCGGCCAAGTGAATACCGCTCGTCTGCCATCTTGTTTGTGTAAAAATATCTTTGCAAGTCAAAGAGCTCCTCGCTATGAAAAAGAATTTTTGAAGTAGCGTCCCTTGCCTCGGTTCCTTCTTCTTCTTCTTCTTCTTCTTCTGCGTTTGACATCAGTCATGCTACACATTGAGTCCCGTCTGGGTCAAAAATAGGATTGTGCGTTTAAGGTCGCCACCGGTCCCCCATAGCTTCTCTCGCAATGTGGATCCCCTGGGCCAGATCCACAGTCTTTGCTGGGAGAGGTAAGGGCAGTACTGCAGTATGTGCTCAGGATCTGTCTTTCTGCTCCACAATCACAGGCAGCAGATTCTTTTATGCCTATCCTGTACAGGTGTGCTCGAAGACCACAGTGTCCAGTCCGAAGTCTAAAAATTGATGTTTGTTCTTTCCTGTTGAGTTTGTTTATGCTGTCACTCTCTGGTCTGTAATCTCTATTCTGCTTTCTCCACTCCCGCTTGAAAGACTGCCTTAGTGCTGTTTTGGTTTCCTTGTAGCTGTGTATTGGATGAGGTTGTGGAAGATTCCTCCCAGCTTTTGCCAACTCATCTGCTCTCTCATTTCCTTGAATACCACAGTGGGCTGGTATCCACTGGTCCCAAAAGACTCCGTCTTCTCACAACACCAATTTAGACCGACACCAAGTGGGCATCTTCACAGATACCTTCAAAAATCATCAGAGACCTGGTAGCCCATTGGCTCGCTGATAGACGACTTCGTCATCAGTTGGGACAGTATTTTGATCTGTCTTCTTTGATCGCATTAAGGACAGGTAAAGCCCCCAAACTGACTTTTTTTCTTCAAAATTTTGGAATTTTACTTTTTAACACTACATGGAAGTTTATTCATTTCTGCACATAATAATACATTTACTGTTCTAAAATTCGATCTGAAAGTAATTTAAATTATTTTTTTTTAATTGGCATGGTAACCGTTTATTTACCTAATTATGTATGCAAAATTTTCAAGCTGTCATAACTCAGTTATTTATCAACCTATTTTAATAATTTTTTTCACGCATTTGTTAGAAATGGTAGAACTGTGATAATCTAATCCATGTTAAAACCTATCTACCTTTTGTTGTCTTGCTGATACCAGGTTGTGGCCCAGTGTCGTGTTTTTTGTATTTGTATTGCGCTTCTCGGGTGGCTTGAGTTTTAGATATGTTCATCTTGTTGAAGGTTTCAGCTACATAATTTATCCATCTCTTTCTTGGTCTTCTTCTCGCATTTCTTCCAAATGGTCTACTGTAAAATGTATGCAGTCTGGCCTGACTGCATTCTCACTAGATGGCTGAACCATTTCATTCTGTGTCAATATAATCAAAACATGGTCTTATTCCACTTTCTCTCTTATGCTGGACAAAAGACAGAGAGTGTTGGAGATTCACTACAGCCAACCTTCCCTTTGGAGATGGCACCTGATTGATTGGCATCCTAATTTTAGTGAGGGACTAACAACTCTTGGCAACATAGTTCCTAGAGGGTAGTACATTTAGCACCGCTGGAGTAGTCTACCATTGTGTTTGTTGTCCGTCAAGATGATGATGACTAATTTTTTAATCAAGTATGAAAAGTTCTTGGACAGTAAGGACACGGAATGAGTATTGTGCCAGGGAGGGAAACTCCTCAGTCACCTTTCTGTCCATCCTTTTCTCAATTAGTCCTTGTGTAGAGTTGCACGCCATGCATTTCGGTCTTGAGAAGCAGCCTCTCAGTTGGTGTCATTAATTCCAAATGCTTTGAGTGAAGACTTCAAGGTGTCCTTAAAGTGTTTCTTTTGCCCGCCTTGGGAACGTTTTCCATTTTGCAGCTCATCATAGAAGAGTTTGTGTGTGAGCTGGCATGCGTGCAACATGACCATCCCAACGAATTTGGTACTGCATCAGTAGAGTTTGGATGCTGGAAATGGCTGATTTCTCAAGGCCTACGGTATTTATGTCTTGCCATCTGATCTCCATTAGTTACGCAGAATGATCATCATCAGGTGCCTTTCCGACTGGCCTCGACGATCATGCCTTTCCACAATCTGCAACCTCTTGGGTACTCTTTTTCACTGTCCAATGTACTTTAAGCATTCTTCTGTAAAACCACATCTCTGAGGCCTCAAGAAATTGTTTATCCTGCCTATACCAATGAGTTTTGTATTGCCTTTCGTATCTCCTTCCGACATCTGCTAGGACATAGTGGAACTGAAAGAGTTAATTAGGCTGGCGAACCCGAGCCATTAGGCTAATAGTGATGGCTTCGTATTGCGACCAGTGTCCGCTTACAAAGCCCGCTACTTAGTACATTTACAGTAAGTACTTCAGAATAGATAAGCAGCAGTCCTAACAGGGGCGTCGACAGAAACAGAAAACGCTATAGAAGTAGGGGGGGGGGGGGGGAGGCTCAGTCGTCCTATGAACGAACTGATGAACCATCATACTTTGTTTTCAAAGGGTTGATAATTGAGCACGCAGGCCCGTCTTTCATTCTGAGTCCTATGAAATTTTAGGGGGGAATGGAAGCCTCAAGGGACCCAGAATATGAATAAATGTTCAACAATAATAATAATAATAATAATAATAATAATAATAATAATAATAATAATAACAATAACAATATTTGTATGTGCCGAACGGCATAGGTACACACACACACACACACACACACACACACACACACACACACACACTCACACAAGAATACGAAATAAATACTTAAAGAGAGAAATTATTGATTTGATATGGGAAAGGGCTGGGGGGGGGTGGAATGGGTTGTTAACACACTTGCAGATTTTATATGGAGAAATGAAAAGGTTTGGTACCATACATCTTACCGCATGGGTCCGCTGGGGGTGGGGGGGGGGGGGTTGCACTTATCCGAGGGCCCCCACGAGTATAAGGGCCCCATTCTAATCTGTGTATGCAAAGTGATTTGCCAAAAAATAAATAAAAAATACTTGATATTTAAATTAATTATATGTAATATACAAACCGAAATTATATCCCCCCGCCCTCCCCTTTTTCCTGTTACCAGTTTTCTTGAAGTGCCAATAAAATAAATATATGTTTAATATATGAGTGCTGAGAACACAAGCCTGACAGACAAGAGGTTTTGTTTTAATTGTGAGCTTTCTGTTCTCCCAAATTCTTTTCTGTCTACCTACGTAGCTACCTACACACCTACAAACATAGCTACCGACATTTCATTTATGTGACTAGTCGTCGTAGGGACACCAGCACACAGGTTGGCCTAGGGGCCCCTAATGCTGTTAAGGCGGCCCTGGTTTAGTCCACGCCTGCCCCTCTAGGTGTTTCACGGCTCCATATATATCACCCCACCCCCCCCCCCCCGCCTTTAACAAAACATATTTTATAAGGCTACTAATTCTGGATATTTCCTTCAAAGTCAGCGCATTTTCCTGAGAAGCAGGGAACCAAGAGTCTGCATACAAATAAGCCAGATCCGTAAAATGGATTTGCATGCAAAACTCCAGTTCTGCGTCAAGATAAATAACCAAGAACGAAAGAACAATCAGAACTTTCCGCACGAGTTTACAGCAGGTGAACTCGAAAAAGAAGAAGAAAGAGCCCGGCCCAAAATTTGTTGGGGGGAAAAAGGGGGGGGGGGAGATGGGCGCTTAATCCCTCATAACAAAATTGGAAAGAAAGAGGAGGGGACGTCACGGTGCCCGGGTCTTGAGGTTTCAGCGCCCCTGAACCAAATTATGCAAACATCATTTCTCACATGTCGCTGATATCATCACCGTTCGTAAATATAACATTCACACAAGTGCAAATTACCAGATATAAAGCACGCCTCAAACATTTACAGCTTTCATATCAACCAGTATAGGTACAACGACACTCTCTTAATACTACATTAATAGCCTCTCAGCGTCTGCTACACTGTTCACAGGATTAGGGTCGCTTGCACGCCGTCAGAATAGGATTAAGCCTGGCCACAATGAGAGGAGAAATGACTCGCATTAGCATACAGGGTTAAATATTAACAACATGTGCTGTAACAATAACAAAAGGTGGTCTACGCGGGTCGGGCTATCTGACAGACTAAAGATGGTTAATGCGTAGTAAAAAAGCCACCATGAAATACATTTGCATGGGTTTTCAAGAGGGTTGCCGTTGTCAGTATACCTGTTGTTTTCTATCGCTGTCCTTTTTAATGTATTTGTTTACCAGTTTGGGTGCCTTTTGTTGTTGTTATCTGTGTGTGCGCGCGCACGTGTGTGTGTTTGCGCGCATGTGTGTGTGTGACATATAGATAGGCAGATGCACAAGCAGACATACATACAGACGGATGAACAGACAGATGGATGGATGGATAAATGGATAAAATGATAGACTGATGGATGAATGAATAGATGGATATAACAACAGATAGCTAGAAAGAGGAAGGGGGAGACAGAAAAAGTCAATACACACGCTTTTCAACTCACCTGCCTAACCTATTGCATATAAACTTTTAAACCTGTATACCTACTAACGTACCAAACCACCTAATACCTACTTACACATCTATCTATCTATCTATCTATCTATCTATCTATCTATCTATCTATCTATCTATCTATCTATCTATCTATCTATCTATCTATCTATCTATCTATCTATCTATCTATCTATCTATCTATCTATCTATCTATCTATCTATCTATCTATCTATCTATCTATCTATCTATCTATCTATCTATCTATCTATCTATCTATCTATCTATCTATCTATCTATCTATCTATCTATCTATCTATCTATCTATCTATCTATCTATCTATCTATCTATCTATCTATCTATCTATCTATCTATCTATCTATCTATCTATCTATCTATCTATCTATCTATCTATCTATCTATCTATCTATCTATCTATCTATCTATCTATCTATCTATCTA